CTAAAACCTAAAAGCCCTAAACCCTAAACCCTAAACCCTAAAAGTCTTGAACCCTAAACTCCCCTAAACCCTAAATCCTAAACCTAAACCTTAAACCCTAAACCCTAAATCCTAAACCTAAACCTTAAACCCTAAACCCTAAATCATAAACCCTAAAAACCTAAAACTTAAACCCTAAACTCTAAAACCTAAGCCCTAAAATCTGAAACCCTAAAAATCCTAAAATCTAAACCTCTAAACCCCTAAACCCTAAAACCTTGAACTATAAACCTTAAACCATAAACCCTAAACCCTATCAAACCCTTGAACCCTAACAAAACCGTAAACCCTAACTCTAAACACGAAACACTAAACTCTGAACTCTAAACCATAACTTTAAACACTAAAACCTAAAAACCTTCAACCCTAAAACTCTAAAACCTTCAACCCTAAAACCCTAAACACGAAACCCTAAACCACAAACCCTCCCTAAACCCTAAAAGCCCTAAATCCTAAACCCTAAATACTAAAGCCTAAACCATAAACCCAAAACACTAAGAACCCTAAATCGTAAACACTAAACCATAAATTCTAAACCCTAAACACTTCAACCAAAACCTTTAGGCCCTAAACCCTAAACCACCTAAACCCAAAACCCAAAACCCTACACCCTAAACACTCTAAACACCCTAAACATTCTAAAACCTAGACCCTAAACACTAAACTCTAAAAAATCCATAAACCTTAAACCCTAAAAAAACCCTAAAGCCTAAACTCTAAATCCCAAACCCCTAGACCCTAAACACTAAACTCTAAAAAATCCATAAACCTTAAACCCTAAAAAACCCCTAAAGCCCAAACCCCAAACCCCAAACCCCAAACCCCAAATCCTAAACTCTAATCCCTAAAAACTAAACCCTAAACTATAAACCCTATACCTTAAACCCTAAAAACCTTACACTAATATCCACAAACCCTAAAAACCCTAAACTTCAAACCTTAATCCCTTGAACCTTAAACCATAAACCGTAAACCCTAAACCCTCCCCTAAACCGTAAACCCTAAATCCTAAACCCTAAACACTAAAACCCAAACCTTAAACCCTAAACCCTAAAATCCTAAACCCTAAACATAAACCCATGAACCCTAAACCCTAAACCCTAAACCCCTTAAACCTCTAAACATTAAACCTCTAAACCCTAACCCCTAAACCTTAAAAAGACCCTAAACACTAATCCTTAAACCCTAAAAGCCCTAAATCGTAAACCCTAAAAAGACCCTAAACCCTAAAAAAATGCTAATCCTTAAACCATAAACCTTAAACCCCAAACCTTAAACCTTAAACCCAAAAAGCCCTAAACCCTAAAAGCCCTAAATAGTAAACTCTAAATCCTAACCCTTAACCCTAAACCCTAAGAACTCCAAACCTTAAAACCCTAAACCCTAACCCCTAAACCTTATTCCCCAAAAACCCTTAACGTTAAACCCTAATCCCCTTAACATTAAACCTCTAAAACTTAACCCATAAAACCTAAACCCTTAAAACCTAAAGCTGAAACCCCTTAAACCAAAACTTTGAATCTGAAATCCTAAACCCTAAATTGTAAACCATAACCCTCTAACCCCAAACCCTAATCCCTCTAACCCCAAACCCCAAACCCCAAACCCTAAACCTAAACCCTAAACCTTAAACTGTAATGCCTAAGCCATAAACCCTAACCCTTAAAACCTTAAACCTAAACCTTAAAACCTAAACCCCAAACCTTAAACCCCAAACCCTAAACCCCAAACCCAAAATCCTAAACCCTAAACCCTTCTAAACCCTAAACCCTAAAACACTAAACCCTAAACCTTAAACCCTAATGCCCTAATACCATAAGCCTTAAACCCTAAAACCCTAAACCCTAAACCCTAAACCCTAAACCCTAAAACCCTTAACCCTAAACCCTAAACCCTTAGCCCTAAACCCTAAAACTCTAAAGCCTATGCCCTCAACCCTAAAACCTTAAATCATGAAATTATCTCCTTATTTAAAAGGGAGATAGTACAATATGATTATGCTACATTTTTACCCCTACTTAAATGGGTCCATATTGGGGTATTTCATGTATTTTATATGGGTAAGCCCCTCATCCGATTGCTTTCTCACTTGGCTGGCTAGACTTAATTGGCTTCAGGGCAGCAAGATCCGCTTTATCAGTTGTGTTTGGGCGATTTGGTTTGACTATTTGATATGACTTGATTGTTGATCATTGACATTTGATTAGGGGCCTTTGAGTGTCTCTGTAATGGTTGGAGATGCTAGGAGACCATATCTTCCTTGAATTGACTTTTCTATGACGATTAGCTCAAATGTCCTTATGCAGCGTTCATGTATGAATGACTCTTTTTTGCATCCTCCAGTTGTATTTTATCTATTTCGTGATTCGATCGACTTCGACCTTATTAGCTTTGGCTTGGATAACTTCTCTTTGTCAGACAAATGAGCTTCATGGTCTTTATTGATGGACCCTTCTTCATTGTACTCTTTTCTTCTAGACTGTTACATTTACTCAGGATGAATGCAAACACGTGTGTGTGTGTGTGTGTGTGCGCGCGCGTGCGTGCTGTAGAGAAATGAAGTGTAATCAATTGTTGTAGAGAAATGAAATAATATATCTGATTACACTTCATTTCTCTACAACAAATTGGTGAGTTGGTTCGTCCTAACCAACTAGGTTTGATGTACCAAGAACAAAGGGTGCATTCATCCATGATATAATAGTTGAAGGTATTATTTCCCACCCAGTGAGATCGTGAATTCGAATCTCATATATTGTGTTTCAACTCGATTTTATCCAAAAAAAAAAAAAGAGAAAGAAAGAAAGGAAGGAAACTTCATTTCAAACGAAGCCCAAAGCCCAATAATCAAAGTGGTATTACTATTATTGAAGAAACATAGAACAAACAACACAAATACTAAGAAAGCAACTCAAAAGAGTTTAGAGGCATAAATTTAATTCGGTTTAACAAGTTCTCGCTCCAATTCCTCGACTTCATATTTTCATCTGATACAAAATTTAATGCGACGTAACAAGTTTGCCGGACCATTAATTTTAGTTTTAGATTTAAGAATTCTAAAATTTTTTCCAAATTAACTAATTTAAACAAAAACACCTACGATTAAAAGCTGAGTTTTCTTTGCTATATGATGTCTTCCAGAATTTGTCAACCGGGGCAGTTTATTCGTACCTAATCATATGTTTCATCTCAAAATACCTCTTTGCGTTAAACCCTAAACCCTAAACCATAATCCAAATCCCCTTAACATTAAACCTCTAAAACTTAACCTATAAACCCTAAACCCTAAAACCTAAACATGAAACCCCTTAAACCAAAACTCTAAACTTGAAATCCTAAACCCCAAACTGTAAACCATAAACCCTAAACCCTAAACACTAAACCCTAAACCCTCTAACCCCAAACCCTAAACCTTAAACTGTAATGCCTAAGCCCTAACCTTAAACCCTAAATCCTAAAACTCTAAACCCTAACCCTTAAAACCTTAAACCTAAACCCTAAAACCTAAAACCATAACCTTAAACCTCAAACCCTATACCCTAAACCCTAAACCCCAAACCCAAAATCCTAAACCCTAAACCCTAAACCCCTAAACCCTAAACCTTAAACCCTAATGCCCTAATACCATAAGCCTTAAACCCTAAAACCCTAAACCCTAAACCCTAAACCCTAAACCCTAAAACCCTTAACCCTTAGCCCTAAACCCTAAAACTCTAAACCCTATGCCCTCAACCCTAAAACCCTAAACCATGAAATTATCTCCTTATTTAAAAGGGAGATAGTACAATATGATTATGCTACATTTTTACCCCTACTTAAATGGGTCCATATTGGGGTATTTCATGTATTTTATATGGGTAAGCCCGTCATCCGATTGCTTTCTAACTTGGCTGGCTAGACTTAATTGTCTTCAGGTCAGCAAGATCCGCTTTATCGGTTGTGTTTGGGCGATTTGGGTTGACTAGTTGATTTGGCTTGATTGTTGATCATTGACATTTGATTAGGGGCAATTATTGTCTCTGTAATGGTTGGAGATGCTAGGAGACCAGATCTTCCTTGAATTGACTTTTCAATGATGATTAGCTCAAATGTCCTTATGCGGTGTTCATGTATGAATGATTCTTTCTTGTATCCTCCAATTGTATTTTATCTATTTCGTGATTCGATCGACTTCGACCTTATCAGCTTTGGCTTGGATAAGTTCTCTTTGTCATACAAATGAGCTTCATGGTCTCTATTGATGGACCCTTCTTCATTATACTATTTTCTTCTAGACTATTAAATTTTCTCAGGATGAATGCAAACACCTATATATGTATGCTTTGGCTTGGATAACTTGTCTTTGTCAGACAAATGAGCTTCATGGTCTCTATTGATGGTCTCTTTGTCAGACAAATGAGCTTCATGGTCTCTATTGATGGACCATTCTTCATTGTACTCTTTTCTTCTAGACTGTTAAAGTGTGTGTGTGCGTGTGTGAGAGATCGTGAATTCAAGTCTCATATATTGTGTTTCAACTTGAACCCCAAAAAAAAAAAAAAAAAAAAAAAAAAGGGGAAGGAAACTTCATTTCAAACGAAGCCCAAAGCCCAATAATCAAAGTGGTATTACTATTATTGAAGAAACATAGAACAAACAACACAAATACTAAGAAAGCAACTCAAAAGAGTTTAGAGGCATAAATTTAATTCGGTTTAACAAGTTCTCGCTCCAATTCCTCGGCTTCATATACAAAATTTAATGCGACGTAACAAGTTTGCCGGACCATTAATTTTAGTTTTAGATTTAAGAATTCTAAAATTTTTTCCAAGTTAACTAATTTAAACAAAAACACCTACGATTAAAAGCTGAGTTTTCTTTGCTATATGATGTCTTCCAGAATTTGTCAACTGGGGCAGTTTATTCGTACCTAATCATATGTTTCATCTCAAAATACCTCTTTGCGGGACTACAAAATGATATCCATCAAATGATTCAAATCAATATATTAAGTACGTTCCAAGTAACACATCTCAATATTTAAACTTGCGTTTCATACAACATAAACTACACCGCAGAAAAAAAATATTTTTCAAGCTATACATTATAAATTGCAGTCATCCTCCGGAGCCTAAAGATCAATCAGGGGGCGTTGGTAAATATCCAGCTTCTGCATCCTTATCAACAAATGCCCAAATTTTTGTAATAAACTTCGTCTGCTGAAGAGGTGGTGGCCACAGCACAAGTGAAAATTTCTGCACCAAAAAGTGCAGAAAGCTATGATTTCTTTGGTGTTCTATTTTTTAAAGACATGACTAGTTTCTGTCTCTCTCCTTCCACCTCTGCAAATCGTAGACTTAGCTGGGTGTATCTATTATGCATCTCTTGCAGTTCAGTTTCTACAGCAGCATTTCTTTTTTTGAGCCCAATCATGTCTTTTATTAATTCATTGATGTCTTTGAAACTCTGAAGTATTGACTCATCATCATTGTGTTGCTTTAGGAATGAGCTGAAGAAAATCAATGCAAAACACAATTAATTGAGGGTTCCGTCTCAATAACAGGATTGCTAAATACATAATAAAAATGGATGGGCGCGAGTAGAAATTTCATGTGGTCTCTATGACAGTCCCATAGATTGGAACTGTTGCATATAAGACACTAAATAGACTATGAAATACAACGAATCATATGCTAGACACTAACGGACCGTTTGAGATCACTTTATTTTTTGTTTTCTACTTTTTATTTTTTGTTTAGTTTTGTTTATGTTTTGATTTGAAACAACATGTTTGTTATGATATATCATGCTTAGTAGTTTTCAAAAACATTCAAAATAAATTTTAGTTGTTTTCGAGTGTTTTTAAAAACAAATTATTTTATTTTTGAAAATAAAAAAAATATGCAAAAAATACACTAAACAAATATATTTTTAAAACAAAAGCAAAAACAAAAAATACAAGTGTTACCAAACAAGCCCTAAAGATTTCAAAATATCATAAATTAATCGAAGTTGGAAAGGAGTAAATCGAAGTTTGAAAGGAGCAAATCACAACTTGAAAGCCAAAACTTAAACAACTAAAATAAATGAGTTATTATAAGGGATCAAGTTATGTGGTTCTACCAGAATGCGAGAATGAGATTACATAAATACCATCATAATTTACCTCTGGAAATGACTTCCTGATTTCTTTACTTGTAATGCTTCTGCAAGCTCGAGCTCCAAAGCCAGTACCCTCTCTAATGCATTTCCATAACTAGTGAGTTTTTTATATTTAGGGAAAATACTTCCCAATTGTTCATTTGCCTGGCGAGTAACAAGGCCATAAGATAAATTTGCAATGTTTAAAGAAATAAAACGCCCTACGTCAATGAGTTCAATATCAGGATCTAGTCCATAATATTACTCGGAGCTAAAATAACCATACCATATCTAATTGTAATAATTCTCTATGTAGATCTTGAAGATCAGCATCGAAGTGATCCTCTTCCAATTGAAGCTCAGATGACTGGTTCTGATCTCTCAACCTTTCCAACTGCATGCATGGTGAATGGTGGGTGCATCACAAAACAAGATTAGAAGTCAATCCTAACGTTTTAAGTTAAATTTTTTTCACTCCATAAATTAATATGGCTATAAACCAGTTTTCATAATTAAATTTTGTTTCACAACTGAGACATCTAGTTCACAATACAAACCATACAAGGATTTCTATTGATGGCTTCTGAACCATCATATTACTTAAAACAGAAAAATAACTAAACTATCTTCCCTAATGCTATTACATAGCTAAATTCAATTTAATGATTGCTGCTACTGTTAGCCTAAATGATAGCTCATGTGAACGCGTTAAAGCACGAGCAATAGTTTTCTCCCAACAGTAAGAACATCCACAGTGAGTCTGTGAGTAGTTTTGTTCCCCAAAATGATGACATACCTGTTTATGAAGAAGCTCCATGCCATTCATTAGTCTCTGCTGTTCCCTGAAATGTTCTTTAATATCGGCAATCTGTGTTGCATTATTTTCCAACAGAGTTGCTCGTTCTGCCACAGGTTCTTTCAAAAGATTTTTCTGTCAAATAATATGGATGTAAAGTCTAAAACAAACTTGGAAAATGCATCTACTATGAATAAAGCAGGAAGATCAAGATATACTTCTTAATACATTAGCAAAAAACCAAGTAACTAACAGTGGCGAGATCCCGAATAATGCCCTTTCAACTAAAAAAAAACAGTGGCGAGATCCCAAGAACAAAAGAAAGTAACTGAAGAGAGCATGAATTCATGAGGCCTCAAATTTAAAAGACAAGGTGCAACATCGCCTAAAGAATATTGTATGTGATATTATTTGATATGTTGTTATATATACAAAAAAAATAAAAAAATTAATAAAGCCAATGATGGTAAAAAACTTTAATGGTAGATAACTAATCAACCATTTCCTCATTTATGGACATCGTAATGTCAAAATAAATATGCTGTGGAAACCATGTAGAATTAACATATGTTGGTGAATGAAAAGATGTTATAAATCAACTAATCTACTAACATTATATTTTTCTCAAACAGAACTACAAACTTTAGAAGAAATTTTTCTGAAAATAAAAAGCACTTTTCCAAACTAAACCATATCCTACTGATTAGAATCTCCATCAGTTAAATGAATTTAAAAACATTTCATATGAGGATCTCTATCAGTTTAAATAAACTTAAAAGGAATATGACAAGATAAGCATGACTTGGAATTCACAGGAGCAATTGGCAAACAGAAGAGTAAAGGAAAAATTTAATAGCTACTAAAGTAGGATATTTTGTTTAAACTTGAATTTGATGAATCATACCGGTTTGCCAAGACTCAGGCATGTGTCTTTATTCATGCTATTTAGCTTCATATCATATACTAATCTGGATGAACTAGATTCGAGTGTCTCACTTGCAGTATATCTACCAACTTTGTTCACTTGGTCATCAGAACCAACTAAATCCTCTAGAAGTTCCCCAATTAATGTTGCATCAGGCTTATTTGCTTCATAATTCATTTCAAGTCCAGTCCCTGTAATGGATGCCATATTCTCAAGCAAGCGTTTCACCAAGTCCAGTTCTACTCTAATCTTTTCTCTTTCATCACTGGACTCTTTCAACAAATTTTGAAGCTTTAGCTTTTCTTCCTTGCAGCACTCGAGGCTAAGAAAAGTGCACTCCAGTTCAGCTTTCATTCTGTCATAAGCTTTAATCAATTCTCTCCTATCAGCCACAACAGTTTGTAATTCAGTCTCCAGCTCAGATAGTAGAATTGACATTTCTTCATTTCTTTTGGCTAGAGAAGCCTCACTTTTCTTTCTTGCCTCAATATCATCAAGAGAATTTTGCAACTTCATCAACATTTCCTCTGCATATTTTCTGGAGACAGAACACTGATTTTTAAACTCTTGAATCTTGGACTCACATTGTTCCTTAATAAATGCTATTCTTAGCGACTCCTGGACCGCAAGGGAAGATCCCTCAGACTCTCTTCTTTCACAAGCATAATGACACTCAGCATCTGCTTTGTCTTTAAGCTCTCTAAGATGGATAGAAAGATTCTTAAACTCCTCTGTCTTCAAAATCTGTTCTGAGAGTTTCCGACTGAGCTCAATGTGCTGCTCTCTTAATTTTCTCATCTCATAGTCACATTCCTCAAACAAGGCAATCTGTTTTTCTTGTTCACTTAATTTTGACATAAGAAAAACAACCATTATATCTAACTCGACTTTCGATAACAGCAGTTCATCAAAATCTTCCAACCTCAGCAGCATACTTTTTAGCATACAGATTTCATCCTCGTACTGTTGTTTCTCCTTAGCATAATTAGTTTCAGAAATTGCAGCTCTTGTCTTCAAATCTTCAAAGTCAGCCTGCTTTATGGTGTTTGCATCTATGTAGGCTAGAAGGTTTTCCTTTTCATCACAAAGGACTTCAAGTGTGTATTTTGCTGATAGGAGATCAGCTGTCAACCTTTCTCTTTCCGCCATCAATTCTGCTTCACTAACAATGTACTTTTCTAGTGAAACAATGGCATTTAAATGCTTTAAATGGAGCTCTTCAAGGACGCTTTTTGATGTCTTCTGATGCACAACAAGCTCTGCAATTTTAGAGTAGAATTGACATCTCATGTAAGTTAACTCAACATCAGCAGATATGGATTGCCCAAGTGCTGCAATCAAATGAGTTTCCAAATTAGCAACTTCAAGATTAAGTAATGAACTTTCAGCATCTATTTTTCTCTCTCTTTCTTTACAAAGCACCACATATCGCTGTGCATCTCCTTCAAGGTCTAGAACCCTTGTCCTAAGATAGCACAATTCGTCATTCTGCTCATTAAAGAATAAGAGCTGCTTACTTGTCTCCATTAATTGTAACTTAAGATCTGAGATGGAAACCTCAAGATCTTCTCTAATTTTTCTTTCAGATTGCAGTTCGACATGGGCATAATTCAAACTATCTTTCAAGCTAGAGATCTCACGTTCCAATTTCACGGATGTCTCACTGCTAGACTGGATGGAAGACAACAGGTCTCTGTTCTCCTGCATTAAATCTTTAAGCCTCAACTTAGTGTTTGCAAGCTCTTCATTAACAATGCCCTCTCTAGCAAGCAATTTTTTACTGAGAACTCTGCATTCATCAGTAGCTTGTTGCAGTTTAACTTCCAGAATGGACATATTTGACAGCAATTTTCTATTTTCCAAGATGTGCCATTCTTCAGCTTCCTTGCTAAGCCTAAGTTTTTTTACTGCATCTTCAAGCTCTATCTGTAAATTTTGAACATTGGTGCAAGAATGCTCCAGCTTTGTCGTGACATTTTCCAGCTCACAGTCAAACTTCTGTCTCATGTATAAGATATGTGATTCTCTTTCATTTAATGTACATTGAGCAATCTCTCTTTGCTCCTCTGCCACTTTCTTCTCTTGTTGGAGACTAAATAGCCTAAGAGATACTTTCTGTTGGACCTGCTCTAAGCGAGAGATTATGGCATCATAGTTCTCACTGTCTAAGTCGTCCTTTACAAATACATCATCAATAGTATCACTAATTTGCTGACTACAAAATATAACACAATTACAAAGATCCCGCAACTTGTCTTGCAGATAAGTGGCACCTTTTTGGAGATCAGAGTTCAAAGAGCACTTTTTCTCATATTGTTCCTTTAGTGATTTCAGTTCATCGATTAAGGAGTTAATCTTAATTTGAAGATAGTCTCTTTGTGATTTTTCTTCTTTCAGCATATTTTTAAGTTCAATATTTTCAGAAGCACATGCCATATACATGCTTTCAGAAACTTCAGAGTCTGATATCAAGCTCTGGCAATCTACCAATTTCTGCACAAGAAAACTGTTCTCGTCTAAAGTGTCATTTAGTTTTGCTTCCATAATACGATGTTTCGATGCTAACTCATTATATCTAGATATGCATTTTGCTTCAGCCTCCCTTGATATCCTAGACTCCTCCAAGGCAGCATGCATCCCAAGGGTCAGAAATTCCTTATCATTTGTACAATGTCTTAGTTCCTCTTGAAGTTCAACTACCTTCCCAATCATGTGGCCAATCCCAGGAAATATCTCACGTAATGTTTCTTGTAAAATTTGTGCATAAACTTCCCAATGCGTGTAAAGCAAAACTACTTCTGAAAGTTCAGTCTCGGAAGTTGTGTGGAGCTGTTTTAGCACATCAAATGACATTTCAGAATTGTCAAATACTTGAGAATGATTGATGGGCTTTTGGATAATCAAATTGTAAAGATAACTGCTCCTGAGTTTTTCCATCAATGAATTATGGGAAAGCGACGGATCCTTTCTCTCCTGCATGAAATCATGTATAGAAGCAGCTGAGGATAAATCATTCAACTTTAATGCATTAGCTGAAGCATCTGGTTCTTCAATGGCATGGAATTGTGTAGCCATGGATAAACCAGTTTGAGAGGTGCCTTTTTTTTCCTCTTTGGAAGAAAAATTGCCAAGCATTCGATGATTGTGATCGCCATTTGTCAGAGAAATGTCATGCTGAATTTCAGCAAGAGCTAATTTCTGTTGTTTTTGGTTGGGAGAAAACAGCCATTCACCTCTATGCCACAGAGGCATCTCCTCTGAATGTTCATCAGGATGCTGTTCGGTAGCATCAGCAAGTGCTTGCTTTGCAAGGCACTGATTTGCCTCATACATTGACAGAACTTGGAAGGAAAGCAGTTCAAGGTCTTTCTGCAATCGGTCAACTGCTATGGCATAGTTCCACCGAACCCTTTTCAGCATTGTCTCAGAGGAAATAGCTCTCTTTTCAAGTTCTTTTATAAGAGATTCTAAGTTATGCCGGTCTTCGGCAAATCTGATTAGCTGACCATTCAATTCTTCATGTAATTTTTCGGTTTGATTTTGAAGATTAGAAATCGTATAAAAGCAAGATGAGTGCTCAGCCCTAAGGTTTTCCAGCTGACTTGATGTTTGATTGTGTCCGTCTTCAAGTTCATGAATAAGTGCTTCATAGTAACACTCCATTTGTGTAATCCTCCTAGCAAGATTTCTATTCTCAGCCTTTAAGACATCCAATTGTTCTGAAAGTTCAAAAACTTTCTTGTCCTTAATGTCTGTATCAACAACAATTTCCATTAAAAGGCTGCTAACCAAAGAAAAAAACTTGGTGATCATTTAAGCACAGAAACATACCTTCTGAATGATGAAAATCAGCAGAACATCTTACAGCGCCCTGTCCTTGAACATGTTCAGATGCTGAAACCAATGAATATTGATCATTTGTTGTCTCAATTTGACTAACGGGTTCTACAGACAATTCCTGGACGATACTTTGTTTAAGATTCTGAATTAAGCTGCCTAGATCATTAAATTCAGAATAGATATAATCAAATTCATTGCCATTATGCCCACAGCATGCCTTATTTTGAATCAGCTGAGCTTTACATTCGATGAGAAAAATTCCTTGAAGCAACTTGGACTGAAAATCAAAGGATAGGTTGCTGTGCTCTGCATCAAGTGCACTGTCGGTAGATTCAGCTTCTGATTTAAGTGTATTCCCAAATGAAGCCTTCTCTAGGATGCATTTTCTTCTAGAAGTACGCTGAGAAGCTGAAGCTACCTTTAGTTCATCAAGATCATTTTTGAATTTCCAATACTCAGATTTTAGTATGTTGAATTCTCTGGCCAGCTTCTCTCCCGAAGAAAGCTCCATGGCAAGTTGTTGAGCTAAATGTTGTGTTTCAGAAGATAATTCATCAGACAAGATTTGTAATGAACTTGCTTCTGATTTAAGCTGTAAAACTGCTGACTCGGCTGCTTGAACTCTTGCAATGAGTCTATCACTATCTTCAAAATTAGAAGCTAAATCATTATCAATCGAGTAGTCCGAACTCCAACCATGACTCCAATCATTGCTAAGCTGGCTTGAAAGCCGCTTGTAATTGTGCTCTCCTTTCCCTGTGCCTGAACTATGAGCAGGTGTAAATCCGACTACATCACCCGAGGCCCTGCTCCTCAGACCATTGAGTTCAGTTAAGCCTGAAAAATCATTCTTTTCAGCGTATAAACTTTCTGAGGTGTATGATGAACCATCAACTCCAGCAGCTGAATCTTCATAATCTTCATTCAACTCACCCACCTCCTCAAGGGAAGGAAGCCCTGCAGAATCGCCCTTGAAACTGACCCTTGCATTAATCTATTTGAATGGCATTATTAACATGTAAGTAATAACAGGAGTACATTATTCAAAAAGAAATCTTGAAATAAAGAAGCTTATCCCAGTGTAAGTGCTTCTGGATATTTAAGTAATAACTGCTTCTGTATAGTAATGATACCACCAAAGAGAAAGTGATATACCAGCATAGCCAACTAGAGAGCAGTGAATTTTGAATTCACACTTGAATAAAGCTTTCAAACAAAATTAGTTAACTGTTACAAAAATTGGTTGCTTAGATGATAAAATATTAAATCTGAGAAAGCAAAACATTCAATTCAAGGAAAAAAAGAAAGGTGAAAATATCAAAATTTTGAAGCAAGTTTGTATGGTGCTTGCAGATGTTGGAAAAACTGGAAAAATTGCAGTGTCTGAAGTATAGACAAACAATGCTGGTTATAATTGGAAGTGTACAAAAATGATGAAATTTTGGGAATTTTTTAAATTCTTTTGTTGTGAAGCGGCTGTGGCATGGCATTGTAACCTTGCTGATTGTAGGTAAAGCGGACAGATGGATTAGGATTGTTTTGCTTTTTTAGATTTGTTTTACTAGATCCATATTTGATAATATGAAACATCATGAAAAAAAAAAAATGATCCTGAGCTCCCATAAACCACAGGAAAGAAAGGAAGTGACGATAGAAGCGTAAAGCAGGTGTGGTGGAACAAAGAAATGGGGTTCATTTGCAAAAAAAAAAAAAAAACAAAAAACAAAATATTGTGGTTGAGTTGCGTAAATCTTGTTGATATTTTCTTGTTGGAAATGAATAATGACAGGATTCAGCCTTGCAAGCGTAGTTCAAGACCCTAGAAACATTGGTTGAGTTGCGTAAATCTCGTTGATATTTTCTTGATGGAAATGAATAATGAGAGTGTTATTTTGACCCCAATTATTGAACTAAGATAAAAGGATACTTTTATAATGTGGTACCGCTCACCTACCACATCTTAACTACCGCTCACCTACCTCCCATCTACCACTCTTTTGCTTCTATAAATAGAAAGGGTGTGAGGCTTAGGAGAGAGCAAGAGAAGAAATCTTAAGCTACCACAAAGGAGGAGAGAATAGCTAGAGAGCTAGAGGAGTTCAGTATCTTGAGGCCTTGTATCAAGGTGTCGCTTGAGAGGGAGGCTATAGAAGGAAAATGAGAGCTCATCTCTATGGATAAACTATGTATTCTCCGTTTCTTTTGTCTTAGTGAACTATTTGATTGATTCCCTCCCGTGGACGTAGATCCAGTTGGATCGAACCACGTAAACGATCTGTGTTTGCTTGTGTTCTTTGCGTCTCATTTCTATGCCAGAAAGTACATATCTCACAACAATTGGCGCCGTCTATGGGAAAATTCATACTTCTTGGCTAGAGGTGTCCGCGTAAAGGTGTTCGCGGCCAGCGACAAAGAAGAGGAGTTCGACATTCACGAATAGAGGAGCAAGTGGATCGCGTCGCAGGCAGCTGAATCGCGACAGATTCAGTGAGCAGTGGAAGCTTTGATCAACTGAATTTGCACCGCAGGTTGTGCAGTTCGGCGAGACGGAGGAGAGACAGTCTCCGAGCGAGGGCTAAAAATTTGCGACAGAGCTGCCAACAGAGGATTTCGAAGCAGGAGTTCGGTCTTGCGAGTAGCTTGGCCAGAGGGAAGAGGCGGAGATCGCGTAGAGAAGGGTTCGGGGAGTTCCCTGTTCGGGAGTTCGCGAAACAGGAGGACCTGAGCAGTTTGGCGAGACGCAACAGCTCTGGAGAGGCAGTTATTCCAGTGCGAGAGGCAGAAGAGGAATTCTTGTTTGTTCCGCTGGAAATAGAGGAGTGCCTGCGGGAAGGAGGCGGGAGCACAGAACAAGAAATTTTTCTCTGGTGAACATGTGTGATCTCTGTCAGTAGGTATCAGAGCTCTCCGTTCGGTTGGTGAAGGCAGTGGAGTTCACGGGGAGAATGTAAGAAATTTGGTGAGAATTTCTTGGACAGCAAGAGGTTAAAAGACAGGTTTAGGCTGAAAACTTTTAGTTGCTATACAATAATACAACATTTTGGTGATTTCAGCCTAGTTCTTGAAAGGACAACAAATAGAATTCATTGGAAGAAATCCTAGCCACGACTACGAGTTCCGTCAAATTCGACATTGAGAAATTCAACGGGAAGAACGACTTCGGCCTGTGGAGAGTAAAGATGAGAGCTCTATTGGTTCAGGAGGGTGTTGCAGAAGCCTTGCAAGGGTCGGCGACATTGCCGACCGACATGACCGAGAAGGAGACATACTGGACAAGGCCCACAGTTTGATAATCCTGAGCTTGGGCGACAAAGTTCTGAGGGAGGTATCGAGGGAGACAACGACTCAAGCACTTTGGGCCAAACTCGAGGTACTCTACCTGACAAAGTCTCTGGCTAATAGGCTCTTTTTGAAGCAGCGCCTATACTCCTTCAAAATGCATGAAGACAAATCAGTCTCAAAGCAGATCGACGAGTTCAACAAGATCATCGACGACCTCGAGAACATCGACGGCAAGATGGGCGATGAGGACAAGACATTGCTATTGCTAAACTTTATTCCTAAGAGCTACGAGCATTTCAAGAATGCGATGTTCTATGAAAGGGTGCAGACTATTACTCTGGAGGAGGTTCAATCTCTGATTAGAGCCAAAGAACTTCAGAGGAAGCATGACAGGACAAGGAAGTCAGCGGAGACAGTCTTATTGTCAGAGGAAGATCAGACATGAAAGATTCAAGAAATGGTCAGTACAGATCAAGTTCAAGCAAGGATGGCGGGAATCAGTCATCAAGGGGATCTTTCAAGTGCTATTATTATCACAAGGACGGTCATTTCAAGAGGAACTGCCCAAACAGAAAGAATAAGTACCAAGAAGAGCCAGAAGAATCAGGAGAAGCAAGCGTAGTCTTTGATGACTACGATTCTGCTGAGGCCCTGATGATCACAGAATTTGAATCCAATAAGGAGTGAATCCTCAACTCAGGGTGTTCTTTCCACATGTGTCCTCACAAAGACTGGTTCGAAACACTGCAACAGGAAAATGATGGGTCCGTTCTACTGAGAGACAATAAAGCTCACAGGGTTGTTGGAGTGAATCAATCAGGATAAGAATGTTTGATGGAGTTGAACGAGTACTGAAAAATGTCAGGTACGTACCAGAGCTCAAAAGAAATCTGATTTCTTTAAGTACGCTGGAGTCAAGCGGATGCTCGTTCAAGGCAGCAGGTAGAATTCATTGGAAGAAATCCTAGCCAAGAGTACGAGTTCCGACAAATTTGACATCGAGAAATTCAACGAGAAGAACGACTTCGGCCTGTAGAGAGTAAAGATGAGAGCTCTATTGGTTCAGCAGGGCGTTGCAGAAGTTTGCGGAAGCCTTGCAAGGGTCGGTGGCATTGCCGGCCGACATGACCGAGAAGGATAAGATCAGCATACTGGACATGACCCACAGTTTGATAATCCTGAGCTTGGGCGACAAAGTTCTGAGGAAGGTGTCGAGGGAGACAACGACTCAAGCACTTTGGGCCAAACTCGAGGTACTCTACCTGACAAAGTCTCTGGCTAATAGGCTCTTTTTGAAGCAGCGCCTATACTCCTTCAAAATGAATGAAGACAAAAGCAGATCGACGAGTTCAACAAGATCATCGACGACCTCGAGAACATCAACGTCAAGATGGACGATGAAGACAAGACATTACTGTTGCTAAACTTTATTCCTAAGAGCTACGAGCATTTCAAGGATGTGATGCTCTATGAAATGGTGCAGACTATTACTCTGGAGGAGGTTCAATCTCTGATTAGAGCCAAAGAACTTCAGAAGAAGCATGACAGGGACAAGGAAGTCAGCGGAGACAGTCTTATTGTCAGAGAAAGATCAGACAGGAAAGATTCAAGAAATGGTCAGTACAGATCAAGTTCAAGCAAGGATGGCGGGAATCAGTCATCAAGGGAATCTTTCAAGTGTTATTATTGTCACAAGGACGGACATTTCAAAAGGAACTGCCCAAACAGAAAGAATAAGTACCAAGAAAAGCCAGAAGAATCAGGAGAAGCAAGCGTAGCCTTTGATCACTACGATTCTGCTGAGGCCCTGGTGATAACAGAATCTGAATCCAATAAGGAGTGGATCCTCGACTCAGGGTGTTCTTTCCACATGTGTCCTCACAAAGACTGGTTCGAGACACTGTAACAGGAAAATGATGGGTCCGTTCTACTGGGAGACAATAAAGCTCACAGGGTTGTTGGAAGTGAATCAATCAGGATAAGGATGTTTGATGGAGTTGAACAAGTACTGAAAAATATCAGATACGTACCAGAGCTCAAAAGAAATCTGATTTCTTTAGGTACGCTGGAGTCAAGCAGATGCTCGTTCAAGGTAGAGAATGGCTGCATCAAAGTAACCAAAGGCCATCGTGTCGTCATACAAGGAGTCAGGAAAAAGGGGTTGTACTCTCTTATCAGAAGAACCGTGATTGCTAAGTCCATGTACTGTTTGGACTTAGCAAACTCAAGCAAGGGCTGAGGGCCTCTCAGGGGCCAGGTGGAGGGAATCTTTACCTCGAAGCTTCTCAATTAAAGGTCAAAGTGGAGAATTATTATTTTGACCCCCAATTGTTGAACTAAGGTAAAATGACACTTTTGTAATGTGATACCGCTCACCTACCACATCTCACCTCACCTACCGCTCACCTCACCTACTTTCCACCTACCACTCTCTTGCTTCTATAAATAAAGAGGGTGTGAGAATTAGGAGAGCAAGAGAAGAGATCTTAAGCTACCACAAAGGAGGAGAGAATAGCTAGAGAGCTAAAGAGGAGAAAAACATCTTGAGGCCTTGTATCAAGGTGTCGCTTGAGAGGGAGGCCATAGAAGAAAGATGAGGGCTCATATCTATATATAAACTATGTATTCTCCATTTCTTTTGTCTTAGTGAACTATTTGATTGATTCCCTCCCGTGGACGTAGATCCAGTTGGATCGAACAACATAAGCGATT